GTATGATACATTGTTTCTAGCCCCTTGTTTTTATCATGAAGATCATTACTGTTGGGTAAACAGGACAACCAAGTAAAGAACACAACCAGTTTGAATATGAGGGCTCTAGAAGACAACTCCTGGTATAACTCTGAAGAAGAATCTGAGTCCAGTATTGAGCTGGGTCTTTTATGGATAGAGTAGAGAGTTAGTGGGATGGATTTAGGTAGAGTGATGCAGGGCCGGGTGGAATTGGGGGAGTGAGAATGGCTGAGCCTATGGCCATAGCAATGGCCACTATGACTTTGCAGGTGGGTTAGGTGTGTCATGTCTTAGCAGAATAGGCATTGTTCCTGGGCCTCAGGTACTTGGGAGCTGCAGGATGTGGAAATGGGCTATAATTAGTCTGGGAACTCAGAAACTAAGTCAGCTGGTCGGGGCAAAAAGTGATCAGACATAATTTATTTACTGTGCTTTTTATTTTTTGTCTTTTTTTCCCCCTCTCCTTAGTAGTCAGCATTGGCTTTATCTTAATGCTCTGTCACTTTTATCTTTAGGTCACAGTTTAGTCAAGCTAGCTTGTCTCTGAGCAGCCGTCTTGTTCTTGAGAGGTACAGCTTGTCCCTATCCAGGATTTTAGATTCAAAGTCATCACCTAGAAAGCAAAATCTTATTCATCATACATGTGTTGCTACTATTGTGTATTTCCTATTTTCTTCCTTTAAAAAAAAAAAAAAGACTATGGCCTGTCCTCTGACTGTCCTGATTGTGATGCTTTCTTTTCCCCCAATGGTGCCCATTCATCTCTAGTGAATCAGCACAAATGAGATCAGGTTTAACAAGTTTTGACCTACCTTTGATGAACCTTTCACACTTTACAGATAGATGTTCCTGAAGAATATACATCCTCTGGTTAGCAACATCAGTAACATATGCATTCTAAAAGTAGTTATTACTACCATCACTTACCTCCCATTAGCTTCCTAAGTAACTCCTACTGATTTGTGTTTGCTTTCCAAAGGAAAGGAAAAGCTCTCTGGAACTTAAGTGTTGCAGAAATGGTACATATCTCTTGCACATATCTTTGTAAAGTCAGTTTTCTGATTTTCATCCTGGCATTGTGTTGCATTTTCCATTAGAATTCTAATCTTTAGAGATGCTGGCAGCTCTTAGGAAAGTCTCTTAGTATGTTGATCTTCCAGACTTGTCAAAAGTTTATTTTTGTGAGTTGAATTTTTCATAATCTATTGTGTTCATTTTTTCCTAGTCATAGAGAATTGTTATCTTTAGCAGGTCTCTATTATACTTTCTCTTAATGTGGTATATTTAAAAAGGAACCCTTAAGAAATGTTAATGAAACTACTTTTTGTTCTAACTGCTGCTATCAGGATAAATTAGCATGTTGATTCAGACTCAGATCAGACAACAAGAAAAAAGTTTTTTTATTAATTTATTGATACAGGGTCTTGCTACAAAGTTTGAAGTTCAGACTCATAGTGATCCTCCTGTCTCAGCCTGCCAACCACTGGGATTACAGGCTATACCACCGCACCTGGTTTCATGGCTGGCACAGTGCAACTGGGATTCCAGGGCCTGCGGTGCTGGGGATCGAACTTGGGAACTTGTGCTTGCTAGGAAGGTGCTTAGACAGCTGAGCTATCTCCCCAGCCCTAAGAAAAAAGTTTTAAAGTATTTTTATTAGCTTAATAAAGGCCTCAGGTATTCCTTGAAAGGCCTCAACCCTTACCACTAGAGTAGCTCTGTTCATGTATATGTAGGTGTTTGAAGATGTGAGGAAGAGACGAAAGTGTTTTGTACATTTTTCTTTTTAAATTGAGAGGCACTTTTGGCTGAGAATGTGGCTCAGCAGCACAGCATCTGCCTGGCAAGTACAGGGCCCTGAGTTCAATTCCGAGTCCAAAAAAAATCTAGTTCTACATACAGAAAAAGAATTGGAGAGAGGCACTTTTGCATTTTGGGTACAGGGTATGGATTTATGTCTGAATCCTGCTATTCTGGAGAATTTTTTTTTTTTGAAAGCATCTACAGGGTGTTCAAGCTCTCACTACTAGATAGGACTTGTAGTGATCTGCCTGTTTACAGCCTCCCAAAAGCTGAGATTACAGGTGCATGCCACCATGCCCAGTTTCAATTGCAGTCTCAGCGTGCCCTGGGAGTGTGACCAGCACAGCCCCCCCCCCTTTTTAATCTGGAGAAATTTTTTAACTTCTCTTTGTTTCATTTTCTTTTGTGGGGTGGGCTTTGCTTACCTTATATAATCTATTGTATATAGATTTATATAGAGAAGATTAGGTTATTTGGTACATGTAAAGTAATTCAGTAACCCTAATACATAGTAATGGGAAGTAAAGTTTTTGCTTTTCTCCTTAATGTCAATTTCCTAAGTAGTATTGATCTAGGTTTCCTAAGAGCACAAGGAGTTCAATATATTTTATTGATGAACTATATTTTAGTAATCCCATTTCTCTTTCTTTGACCAGTTGAGAACTGTTAGAGGGACAACTGCTGCACATTTAGTACATTCAGATCCACGGGGGAAGAAACAAAACAACAACAACAACAACAAAAAAAAAAAAAACCCAGTGTGCTAGAGTCTTAAATTCTCAGTATATTATCATTTAACCCAATAAATACATAAAGGGATAACAAACACTACCATTCTTTTTGTCCTAGTCTTGCAACAGGATGGTTCACATTTGGACAAAGACAATTTTGGAGAATTTTTGTTTGTTTTGCTTTTGGAATGACAACCTAGTCTTTGGTATGAATTTGGCCCTGAAGTTGCTGGTGCAGTTGTATTTGCCAACTGATATAACAGATGTTGCACATTTAACTTCAACTTGAGTTTTCTTGGAATCAGAACTGACCATGAAAGAGAGTTACTAACAAATACTGTGTTCACTCAATATCCTTTTTAGAGAGACCCTGCCGCAACTGGTTTTAAGTACATTAGCATTCCCTAGTGTTCTTTCTAAGTCACCATCCAGGAATGTATAAACAAGGACAGCAGCAATTTAGTGGCAAAGAACAAAGTGTTCATGTATCTGTCTCTCAAAAAAAAATTACCTGGCAGCACTTGGTGCAAGCTAGGAGTAATCTCTGGATTGGTTTAATAAACTCATTGGCCCAATGCCCAATGTCCAGCATGAACTAGGGACTTTCCCTTTTTCTCATCTTCTCTTTATTCTGTGTTTGTTTGCCTGCCTGTCTTTTGTTTTGTTTTTGAGACAAAGTTTCGCTATGCAATTCAGGCCACTCTTGAACTCACTTTGTAGCCCAGGCTGGCCTTGAATTTGCAACAATCCTCCTGCTTCAGTTTCCTGAGTGCAGGAATAATAGGCATGTGCTATTACACCAGGCCTTTTTTATTCTATCCCTGATGTGTTTCTTCTGATGTTTGTTGTCCTTTTCTCCCTGACTTTGATAATCCACTATGGAATAATCCACTGTAGAGAAGATAACTAGACCTTTATGCTCAAAATTAGAAAATCCCTAAATCTTTCTTTTTCTCATAGTGTCATATCTAATATTGTCTTTATTTAAAGAGAGCCAGTTCACAGTGTGATCAATGAGAATACTGTTGCTCTTTTGGGTGGGATACATTTTTAACAAGGAATTATAGGACAATTCACCCAGTGCCAGTCACACATTACCAATCACTGTGACTACCAAAAATGCCTTCACTTATTTCTACTCCCCCCAAAAGTAGTGGTACAACTACACCATTGGTTTAGACCCACTGCCAGCTAGACAATTAGAAACATACTGCCCATATTCTGAACTCAACTGCACATTATTAACCATTATATATACTTTAATAGAGGAACTTAATTGCCAAAGTCTTTATGTCTAGGCAAAGCCTAGCTATTAAAGCCACAAAAGTTTTATCATTTAAGACTATACCAGCCACTTTTTATTTTTCAAAATCTACAGTGTTAAGAAATCTAAGACACCTATTGGTTTTACATATGTATATGAAATTTTTTTTAGGGAAGATATTAGGTTTTCATAAATTACTGGTTTATGGAATTAGTATATATGTATAAGATTTAATTTTCTCAAATTATGCTCATTGTTAATTTACAGGATTAAAGTATCTGTTCAAAATGATTTTTTAAAAATGATTTTAAAAATTTTTGTGAAATTACTTTTTACAAAATTTTATTGAGAAACAAATAGCAATGAGATAGTTTCAAAAAAATTTTTTTTAAACTTTTATTTATTTATGTGTGTGTGCATGTGTGTGTGTGTGTGGCCAGCTCAGCCCACCAGGGGGCAGGGCTGGCTGGCATGTGGTGCTGGGGGATTGAACCGTGGTCCCTGTGCTTTGCTAAGCTTTTTCTAAGTAGGTGCTCTAGACCACTGAGCCATCTCACCAGCCCCAATATAGTTTCAAAATTGATTAATAGGACAGTTTCAATAATTAATACATTGCATATTGTTGTCTTTGTATTGGTTATTCATAGTATAAGATGCAGACATGATATCCTGTCCAAACGCTATTAGTACAAATCTTTCTTCTCATTGAATTAAGAGAAAGTAGCTGTATATCTGTTTTAACTATTTTGTGTATACAGATACAAAACGATCCTTCATTTGTATCCCCTTTTTTTGTTTAGTTTTGTCAGAGATGGGTATTCCATTGCCATTTAAATATTGTAGGTGCATGAATTCAGCAAAATAATCCAATATAGTCCACTAGTCCATAACAGTAGTGTGTTATCCATAGGACTGGCAATGTTAGGAGTTGTTTACTTGAGCCCTTTACAGCTCAGTCTATTAATATGGCTTTACTTTTCATACCTCATTATTATACTTTTCTGCTGGATGGTTAAGACCAAGATAAAGCAAGACCTATGTAATTAAAAATGATTTTTAAATGTAGTATGAAGTGCACATACGCTTTAGAATTTCTTATACTAGTGATTTTTAAATTTGCAGTTTGCTAATGTTATACAAATAATTAAGTTATAAAGTATTTTATTTCATTTATTTTTCAGAGAAAGAGTTTTGAAGAAAACTGGGCATAATATATTCAGCAAAACCAAGCAGAAGAGAAACAGACAAAGAAACAAAAAGCTTAAGAGTGTTAGTGAAAACTCATTTGAAGCCTTAAATTATTTTACACCGGAATATCAGGACCCAGTTCCAAGTGAAAAAGTTTTTGAAGACACAAAAGGAGAATCAATTTCTCTCTTAACTGATGGTTTACAGAGTAAACAAGGGAATTTTGCGAATGGCTGTAAGGAAAGTAGTTGGAAAAACATAGATCCTGAAGATAGTTTTCCAAATGTCATCCCTACAGTTGAATTGGACAGCTTGTCAAAGAATTACTTTCCTAGGGAAGATGATGACTTGTCATCAGTGCCAAATGTTACTAGTCCAACACAGACTCAAAATCTTCCCTGTGTAATGAGGAATGACTGTTTTGGCATGAAAGTAGAAAAACATAGTAAAAATAGTTATAATTTGTCAATAGATACCCATGACCTATTTCATGAAACCCCATCTTCACTCAGGAAGAAGAGAGAGGTAGTTAAAAGCCTCTCAAATGAACCAGTCCCATACTATCAGTGTACATCTAGAAGTTCAGATGTTTTAAGAGAAGAACAAGGAGAAAACAAAAATGAGAACAACTCTTGGGCTTTTTTCACAACCAATTTATCTAACAAAGAATTACAGCTAGGCCCTGACAGTCAACCCTGTTTTGGTAGCTGGCCTGAGGGAACTCATATGTTTGTGTGTGAACAAAGACCAAAGAAAGATAGATCACGTAAAGTTACCTGTCCTGACAACAGGAAACAAATGATTAAATTGATTTCTACTTCTGAAGGAACATCAGAACCAGAAAACAGTCCAGAAATATTGATAGAGGAGAAGCTACTGATGGAAAATGAAGATTTGTCACCTTCAAATAAAACTACAGATTCATACATAGAAACAGAAACAAATATATTCAGAAGCCCTTTACTTCAACTGGATATCCCAAAGGGTGCCTCAGAACCAACAAAGAATAAGGAAAAGATACAGAAAAGGGTTTTCAGTTTGGTACCAAACTTTAATTTACTGGAACAGAGTAATGCCAATGCAAAAGAGAGGGAGAAATGTGCCCTATTAACAGAAAACTCTGAACTGAGTATTATTTGGGGAAAAGAAAATGATAAAATTTCAGAAATAAATAATGAAGAAGAGGACAAACAAAAAGTTATGGCCTTTAATCATCAGCCATTATGGTTTTACCTTGCTATCATCAAAGATTCCCCTTCAAGTATTGGTGTTCAGTTTTATTCTCATTATCTGTCACTTAACAGACCAGGACACACACTATATTTCTGCAAATACCCTATTCCTTCTCTTGTACTGCATTACATTTCTAGCTTTTGGCTAGTACTTTTTACCAACAAAAAAAAAATTTTGAATTTCAAGTCTCAGACAAGATTAGTTAATAAACTAAATGATGTAGGGTTTCTTTCTTCAGAAATTTTTAGTGGCCAGCCTCATACTTTATGCTCTTTTAGGGTTACTTCTGAACTTCACTTTTTAAATGAACAATTTGATGACAAGCTGAAGAGACAGGAAGAATCTAAGCCATTCCCATGCTTCCCTACTAAGAACAGACAAGATTTAATAAGTACTGGTTTTAAGTTCCTTGGGCTACCATTATCACAAGACTTTGCCTTTCGACTAGTAAAGGTTTTCAGATCTCCTGGATTTCCAATGGGTAAATTGTTTTCATTTATTCAATATAAGCTATTGAGGTATTTCCGCCTGGTATTAATCATTTCATGAAATACTAATCTTGTGATGTCTTTAAACAGTAAAAGGACCCATTACTAACAGTGCTTGTTTTTTTACTTATCATTGTTTTCTTTTTTTGTTTTTCTGATTTTTTGAGATAAGGCCTCACTATGAAGTTCAGCTGATCTTGTACTCATTATGTAGCTAAGCCTGGCCTTGAACTGCCAATGGTCCTCTTGGCTCAGCCTCTCAAGTACTAGGATTTCAGGTTTGCACTAGCATGCCCACCTGAATTTTTTTAATTTTTATTTTTAAAGCTCCTCCTTACATTAATACTATTAAACCTCCTTACCACCATTAGACTCTGTGTGTGTGTGTGTGTGTGTGTGTGTGTGTGTGTGTGTGTGTGTGTGTGTGAAACTAGGTGTTGAATCCAGGGCCTTTGCACTGAACTACATCCCTACCCTTTTTTATCTTTGATTTTGAGATGGCTTACTCAGTTGATCAGGCTGGGCTTGATTTTATGATCCTCTTGACTTATCCTCCCAAAGTGTATCTTTTTAGATATAACTGAGTATATAGAATACTTGAGCTCTCCATTTAAATAGACATGAGGAAGAGTGAAGGATGAGAGATAGTGACAGTGATAGAAATGGGCCATGATTTTTTAATCTTTTGACTTACTACTTTTCTCTTGTTTGACACATGGCTGTTTCTGTTCTCATTCACAATTCTGGCTCCCAGATAAGAATTAGTAAATGGGGGATAGTAGGTAATAAATTAAAAAAAATCTGAAATCTATTTTTTAAAGATTGAGGAAGGAAGGTTCTGGACAAACTTGTTCCCAGCAGCTGACATCCATATTGGCTAACTTCCTAGGGCTAGGGAGTCACACTTATTAATCTATTTGGAGGATTCTTATGCTGTATTTATTACATTTGTAAACTTTGTAAATAGTCACATCTCAACTATTTGCTGTAGTTTTCTATTTTAATGTATGTGCAAAAAATAAAATCTCTTTAAAAAATTAAAATGTATTTGGGGAATTTTAAGTACTGAAGACATTTTAGGTCAGAGATGCTAGTCTGTAGTTTAAATTCTGAAATTATATACAAATATTTTTATCACTTTGTATTTTTCTTTTTTGAAAGTACACAGATTAGTTTAGTTTCTTAGTGGGGTTCATGACCAGAAAAGATTAACAATCACTGTTGTAGATCAGTACCAGAGGGCACAAAAGCACTGGTGTAAAAAGATTCTAAACTTCTGCCTTGAATGCACAATATCATCATAATCGACAGTGAGTGAGCATCCATTAACTAAACTTTGGAAAACTTTTTAAAAGAAATAGATCCCATTCATCAAATGGGCTACCTTCTGAATGGGGAGGGGAAACTAACACAAAATACAACTACCACATCCAGAAACTATAAATGACAAGCTGATGAATATTTTATGAGTGAGGTTAGCAGTGCTAAAGAGATTGTTGAAGACAATATGGGTTATGGTTTTGCTTGGGATTGTTTCAGTATGGAAGTGAATTAGATGCAATGTTTATACAAAGGAAAAGGAATGTGGCTGAAAATAAAAAGGGAAACAGTTCATATTTGGAAATTGTATCTGCTTATAAAGGGAAAGGAGGTAATGGGAAGTGAGCTGGGCTGGAGTAGACAATAAGCCAAGCCCCAGTGTACTACTGGTGACTGTAAACAAGGCAGGGATCTCAAATGAATCAGTATTAGGAACTCTGCTGATGAGGATTATATAATAGAGCCATATATAACCCATTAAAAACCAAACTATATATAATTCTTGGACTCTGTGAGTATAGGAAAAAATTTTTTTTGTGGCTTGGTACAGCTGATGTTGTATATTACAGTTATATGTTTGGACTTGTTTATAAGCATCTTAAATGTGAAGAGGTAAGCCCCTTAGACACATATTTTAAAAAAAATTTTAGACACGTATGTTGAAGGAGCAATCTGTAGGAAAATCAAGATTCTAGAGCTGCAGTATTTCATCCATGTCATGGGAAAGGATGACTACCTACATTTTATGATTATGATAATACTTCTTGAAATTGTTAATATATAAGTATATATTGCTATGTATTTTTTTTTTTTTTTTTTTTTTTTTTTTTGGCGGAACTGGGGATTGAACTCAGATCCTTGCGCTTGCCAGGCAAGCATGTATTCTACTGAGCCATCTCCCCAGCCCCTACTATGTATGTATTTTTATGCTTCTATGAGGATATGAACTATGATACAGATCATTTTATATATATAGAAGACTTCATTGAGTCTGGATACTGTTTACTAATAGAGATATGAGACAAACTCCCATGTTAGCCATCACTGAAATATCGTCAAAATCAGACTTTGAGTTTTTTAAGGTTTTGCTATGCAGTTCAGGACCTGGGCTTGAACTCACTATGTACCCCAGGCTGCAGCAATCCTCTTGCCTCAGCCTCCCGAATGCTGGGATTACAGGCATGCGGCACCATGCCCAGCTCAGACTTTTAGCATTACGGCAGCCTAGATATTGTCTTTGCATGTCATCACATTTAGAAAATCTGTGAAATTAGAAGTGTATTTTCTTACTTTTTTTTTTTTACCACCCCCCCTCACCCCACAGAATCCTTGTTGTCTGATAACTATGTGATTCCCTTCGACTGGAAAACACTGAAGATGATCTGTTTGCAATGGAAGATGTCAGCAGAGGTACATTTTTTATAGCTTTCAAAAAAAGTCTTCTATGAGTTTCTTTAAAAATAAAGTTGGAGAAAATCTGCTCCTCAAACTTAGTAGACAAGTGCTACATCTCTTTTTCTTTCAATTAGTCCCAGGAGAAAACTGCATTTTGTTTTCCTTTCTTTTTTTAGGTGGAGCACAACATATTTTTATTTTTTCTTTAATTATGTTTATTGGTACATTTTAGGTATACATATTTATCACGTTCATCATAGGGAATTTGTACGTATACATGACACAATTTGATTCTATTTGTTTTTTCCCATTCCCCTCCCCTGCAACTTCCTTCCCCTCATTATTTATAAAAGCTTTGTTTCCATTTTTCCCCTTCTTTTCTCATCTTATTGGAGACGGGGTCTCACTATGAAAGCAAGGCTGGCCTTGAATTCATGGTGATCTTCCTGCCTCAGCCTCCTGAGAGCTGAGATGAAAGGCATGTGGTACCACATCTGGCCTCATCTTTTTTCTTTTTCTTTTGCATCTGTTTTTCTGATCTTGTGTTTTTTTTTTTTTTTGTTTGTTTGTTTGTTTGTTTTTTTATCTTGTTAAAATTAACTCACACTGTGGGTGACTCAGGTGTCCATTTTAGCAGAGTGCTTTATTTTTCATTACATTCTTCTACTATCCAGTCCTCAATCTTACAGCTCAGCTATAAATTAGATTTGTATTTACTTAACTAAGAAGCATCTTATTGGGGTGATCTGTTGGTCCATAGTGAAAGAAAGAGCTATGTTTCTAGAGATGTTCATTTTCTATGTGGCTGAAAGAGGGCTGGCTTGAACCATTAGAAAGATTATAGATGGAAACTCTGGAAAGGCCAATGTAATGGAGTGTCTAGGGGTTCATTTGATCATGTTGATTTAAATGAGCCCAGAAATAATACACTTTGAAACTGTGAAAAGGAGGCTTAGTAGACATTACAGAAATAATATGTTAGGACAGTGGATATTTCTTATCTGTTTATTTAAGTGCAACTGTAGATATGTGTGTCCACACTTTTAAAACTAAATGTACATTTTAATTTTTTATTTATCCCTATTCCCCAAGGAGATTATAAATTTACTTAAACATAGTAGTTCTTCGAATGTTCAAAATGACATTTGTGGTGGTAGTGTTTCTTTTGTCATTTTTAGGAAAATCTTTACATGGGTAAAGTGACAATGTAAACTTAACTCATCAAATATTAATCATTATTTTATATTTTTAATTATAATTTTTAGAAAAAGGATGACACTAACTAGAACTGAGAATTCCTTAAACTGTAAGTATAAATCATTCTAGAGATCTTTACATAATTATAACGAAGCTAACATTGACATTATTTGATTGTAATAGCTCGTATGTACCACAGTTGAAGAGTAAAATATAAAAAATAGTTCGTTACCATGGCAACCCTGTGTGCTAGTATACATGTCATGGTTTTATTTCCTTTAAATGTAGATTTTTTTTGTGAAATAAACCAAGCTTAGATTGTTGCTCCCAAATTTATTTTCCCGTTTTATTGGTTAGAATGTATTTGAGAGCATTCTGATAACACAATTTATCAGAATTTTCCTCTGGGTTGGTAATTTATCAGTGCTAGGAATTAAAGATAATAGACTTTATTTAATTACTGTATGAAGGGATTCTCTAGGAAAAGAGGCAAAATGTATAGACACACTTCTTTTATATTTTAAACTTGACATCAAGCTGACATTAAAACAAACATATTGCACTCTTTCCCCAAATACCTAAATTATGAAATAAACACAGCTGTTGCAGTTTCAGTGTACAAGTATCTTCATTTGCTAAGAATTGAATGCACTGTACTTTTACTGTATGTTTTCTTTCTTCATTTTAATTCATTTCTAAGAATATTCTGTATTTCCTTTTCTCAGTGAGAAATACATGTATTCCCAGTATAAATATTTTTTCTACGTTTAAACCTCCTTCTGCTGAAAGAAGAGGGACAAGAAGGGAAGATTTGGTAAAATAGTTTAGAAGTTTGGGGAGCCACTAGAAAATGTGGAATAAATATGGTACAGGAAGAGATAAGTTGTAAGGAATTTACAGAAAGGAGGTGAAGACATTATTTAGCAAATATGTATTGAGTTACCTCCTATCAGACACTGAGGAGATAGCAATGAAAACATTCCTGCCATCCTGGAATTTATATTATAGGGATAGGAGTTAGGAAGGGAGTGGTGTCCCACCCTCACCCCCATAACATAACCCTAATGTGAGGTAACACCAGCACAAACAGCAATAAGCATAACTCTATTTAGCTATGGCCAATCTGGATGATAATTTATGTTTTGTTATTGCTCTTCTACACGTACTTGAAACTTCCCTTTAAAGACCTGGTCTTCTCACCAAACAGTAGGTCTCTAATTCTTTTTTTTTTTTTTCCTGCGGGACCAGGGATTGAACTCAGGGCCTTGGGCTTGCCAGGGAAGCGCTTATTCCACTAAGCCATCTCCCTGGCCCCTAATATGTCTCTAATTCTTAAGCTTTCATTATGTGGGCATTTTTTAGTATGAGTGTTATAGACAAATTCCAGTTTTTACAATTATTTTGAGAAAGAACCTCCTCATTTTGTGTTTAGCATAATGTATTGACCAGTAAGTCTTAAGGAGTAAATAACAATTTAGGAAGAAGAAACTACCAGAAGAATCTCTTTGGTTCTGGGTGACACAAAGCCCTGCCTATTTCAAAATATTTTCCCTGTTGGTTGCCAGGGTATTGGCTAATATTGCAGCACACCTTTGTGGAGGGAGGGGCACTAGAAAGAGAACTGGCTCCTATCATAGAGATACTGCTGCCTGTCTGCACAACTTTAAACCAATTACCTTCTCTAAACAAATTACTTTCTCAGAGCCTCAATATCTTCACCTATAAAAAAATTGGTTTATAATACCAACCTGTCATGAGACATTAAATGAAGGTGAAATGAAATAACTTGTGCAAAGTACTTAGCATAATACCTAAGAAATAGCAGGCTCTTAATAAGGGTTAATTCTCTTCATTTGAATACCCCCTTGGGCTTTAAAAAGCTTTGCTATTGAAATACACTCCTGTAAAGCAGAAATTGGTATAATCTAGAAAGAGGAATATATTGATTCAGGAAATGTGTTAATATATTTGCATGAATTAGTGCATTATTAACCTTTTGTAATGTAAATAACTGGATCATAGGAAATGGAATAAAGAGACAGAAGTCTGAGAATTGTCCAAGGGAGTAGGCTCTGAATGAGGCAGGACCAGGCAGAATGTGGACTGAAGGACAATTGGAAGTCCTAGATGCCAAAGGAATCACATAACTAGAAGGGCAAAGAGTGGGACCCTGGAAACAAACACTATTCCTATCACCATTTTGTCTGGACTTGCCTGGGTTTGTGTTTCATTATAGTTGAGTTGTCTCATCTCCATGGTGCCGCTGAAAATCCTGATCATCAAGCAAAGTCAGAGTACTCTGTGTGGACCCAAAAGATTCTTTCCAGAGATGTACCTGTTGGATGCTAAAGCTGGTTTGGATAATCTATTTAAGTGCTAATTTAAATAATAACAAAATCAACAGAAGAAGTAACAATTTAAACATCATAGTATCTAATTTGAAGATGTTTGCTATTATTTTATTTTGTTATATAGAAGACAATAAGGTACAGAACATGTAGGTAGCTTATTTTTTTAGATTGCATTAAGTTTGGAAGGGTAGGCCATATATCCAAGTATTGGTCTATAACTGAATTTCTAGAATTGTGAAATCCAAAAGACTTTGAAAACTAGATGTTTTATGGTTTTAAACTTTCGTTGTGGTAAAATACACAATAAAATTTACCATGTTAGCCATTCTTTTTTTTTTTTTTTCATTTATATCATTTATTTTATTTTGAAGAGTAAAAACAAAGAAAAAAGAAAGGAACAGGGAAACATACATTGCATATGTTGCAGATTTTCAAAACAGGAATAGCTAATTAATGATGGTTGTTATATTATCTATTTTTATCATCAAATCTGTTGCTCAGATTAACAAATATATGCAAGATTTGGGAGACAATTGAATATTGGCGCTTGCTTTCAAGAAATCTTAATTTTTTTCCTTGCCTTTTATGGCTCTAATTAATTAATTAGTTTTATGTATTTAGTACAGGGTCTACAGGGTCTCACTATGTAGCTTAGACTCATAGTGATCCTCCTGTTTTCAGCCTCTCAAGTGCTGGAATTACAGGCGTGCCACCACGCCCAGACTCAATCACTATCTCAGCGCGCCCTGTGGGTGGCGCTGGCATGGCACAGTGGGATCAAACCCTGGCCTCTGGTCTGCCTAAGCAGGCTCTTTAATCCGCTGAGCTATCTGGCAGGCCCCATCCATGGGTTTTGTATTACATATTGCTGTCTTCCATGTAGTTGCTCAGATAGCAGATATCAGTATACAAAGTTAGTCAAGGTGAAAATTCTAAACATTAACTACTATTTAGCCATTCTCAAATGTGTTATAAATGCATTCATAGTGTCCCCCTGTGGCCACTGTCCATCTCTAGAACTCTTCTTATTGTGTAGAAAGTAACTCTGTATTCATTTTGTATTAACTTACTGTTCCTCTTTCCCTTCACCTCTGGAAACTACTGTTTTATTTTTTAGTTTGTGATTAAACTATAGTAATTTGGAATCTAAGCTTGACATCAACAGGGTTACTTAGTTGGTGTGTTTATAAGTATGTGTGTATGTATCTTTGGTCATATATTTCAGTGCAGTAATACTAATATAGTCAATTACTAGGGGCTGCCCAGACTCCACGCAGAATGTAAGGTGATATGTGTAACTACTACTTTACTACTGCAACAAGCAAACACTTTCTGGGTTCTGAAACATATCTGACCTTCAGGATTTTGGTTAAGGATTATACAATATATAGTATATTGTTTGCTCTTTAATTCTGTTTTATCTTAGTTATACTTAAAATGTAATAATTCATTTTTGAAAATAAAGAGTGATTGTCTATGCACTGTTTGTAACTTCGACATTTAATTAATTGCCCAAAGAGAAAGGGAACCCCACTTGTCTTAAGCCCCTTCTCACAGATCTTTTGTCTTACCTTCTTCAAGAAATAACCTGTGAGAGGGAATGTTCATTTCTTTCTTTTGGGATTGGAGGAGACTGTGGTGCTGAGGATTGAACCAAGACCTGCTAGTGCTCTGCCACTGAGTACAGTCGGAGCTCTTTCATATGTATGTATGTATGTATGTATGTATGTATGTATTATTGTTATATAGTGCAGTGTCTCACTACAGAGATCTGACTCATAGTGATCCTCCTGTTTTCAGCCTCCCAAGTGCTGCGATTACAGGTGTGTTCCACCACGCCCATTCTCAATCACTATCTCAGGGAACCCTGAGTTTGGGGTGGGGGGGCAGCAGGCAAGCTGGGGATCAAACCCTGGTCCCTGCGTCTGCCTAAGCAAGTGCTTTAATCCACTGAGCTATCTGGCCGGACCTAGTGTCTCTTTCTTAAAGATGTAGTACTCACCTTCCTGATTAGAGCCATACCTCTAGCCTCAGGTAATCAATTCCTGGATTCACAGGTTATGATATATAAGTTGTTTCTTGGTGCTCTCTAATTCAGGTATCTTTTTGGCAAAGTTAATCAGTACTTGCCTTGTAGTCTCCAGTTTCCAAAACCCTGTTATGGTGATTTTTCTCTCTTACAGGTTTTGCTTAAAATAAAAATAATAACGTAGCAAGCACTGCATCCAAAACACCCCCAAACTAACCTCTTTCATATTTTAAGTGTAGCTATAAGATGGAGTGAGAATTAAGTGCTTAGATTCAGCCATTGTCATTGGGAATTGAGAATGTAGTGCTTTATTTAAAATAGCTCATTGTTTTCCTCCTGTTCATCTTAAAATTCTTTTGCATATAACATACTTTAACCAATCTTCTCTCATCATTCCCCTTGCCCCACTCTCCCTCTGGTTTTACATTGGTAGGGGGAGTCAGTGTATGTAATGTCTTTTGGTCACATTCATCCCTGCTGTAACACCCTGTTATCCTCCTTGCTGTCCCCTTATTCCCTTCCAGGTTTTAATTTATCGTGCCATTGGACTGTAGGTTCTTTCTAGTCTGCAGGGTTTGATTGTGCTTTGTAGTACCGTATAGAGCTATTGTGAAGCTAGACTAGCCTTGGCCCAGGGCGGGTAGTTTCCCAACAGGTCTGACTGGAATTTCAGTGCTGACACATTCTATGAATTTTCTTCCTTGTTTTCCCTCTCCCCCTTCTTATTCTTGTGTCTCTGTCTCTGTCTCTGTCAGTCAAGTCTCTCTGTCTCTCTCACTGTTCAATACTGACCCAGGGCCTGTTAGACATGTGCCCTACCACTGAGCCAGCCTCTTAAAAAAAAAAAAAAAAAAGACAGAGTCTTGCTAATTGCTTAGGCTGGCTTCAAACTTATAATAATGTTGCTTCAGATGAGTAGCTGAGATTACAAGTGGAGGACACTTGGCTTCTTCCTGCTTCCTAAAGCCTTCCTCAGGCTTCTAGAGAAAAGAAAGAGCTAGGAGGAAGCTGAGCTAAGGAGAGGGGGAGAACAGACAGCCTAGGGAGAGGATTCTGGCATGTGGCAAATTTTTTGCTTTCTTGAGGGTCATCAATGACAAAATAGTATTTAACAATGGGTATAGTATGAGACATGACCAAATTTGGAGCATCTTTATAATGTGTTGATTCCTACCACACAAATAGCTATCCAGACTTGTATTTGAGTTCCAAAATGCCTCACTTTTCTACAACATCTTTTATCCTTTCTGTTTTCCCCTTATTTCTAGTATGGACCTTCTAACAAATGAGTTTGGGCTACTGTCCCACCTTCTCAGGCTCTGCCTTTGAAACCTACACCAAGTGTGTCTGTATATAGTTGCAAATATTAGAAGCTGTAGAAATAAAATATAGTGGTCCTTGCCTTGAGGGAAATATCTGCCAGCAAAAAGAATGAATGTGAGATATGGACTATAGGAATTAGAGGTTGGGGTGAGATGGGGTAGAATTATGAAAATCAGACTTGTCCAGAGGATATTTTTGTGTAGGCAGATTTATCCAGATTTGTGTAGCTTTTTATTTTTCCATATTTTGTCAAATAGTAATCATTAGAGACATGCTGGAATGTTTCTTTGTCAAAAATTATTTAAAAGATTATTCTCTCTCGTTCTCACTTGCTCTCACTCTCGCTCACTTGCTCTCTTGCTCTTGCTCTCACTCTCTTTTAATTTAATTTTTGTGAGACAAGTTCTCATTATGTTGCCAAGGCTAGTTTTGAACTTCTGGGTTCAAGTGACCCTCCTGCCTTACCTCCTGAGTAGCTGGGACTATAGCTGGGAAATCTGGATATAAATCTGACTATAGCCACCACACCTGGATTTCTTATTATTTTATTTATGTCTGTCATAAAGAAGTGATGTCCAGCTGGGCACGGTAGCATGCACCTATAATCCGGGCACTTGAGGCCAGCCTGGGCTACATAAGCAAGTTCAAGGCCAGCCTGCACTACATAGTGAGATCCTGCCTCAACCCCCCCCAAACTCCCCCCAAAAGAGAAAAGTTGTCGTTTAGGTTTCTAATGCATCAAAATGAGATTCAGCTGGTCATCACATGATAAAAAATGGAATGGAAATCTAAAGTTGAAAAGTTGATAGCATTTCCTTTATCATAGGGTTCCTCTGACTCAGAGGAACTGTTACCTAGTAGGATGGTAGAAATATCCCTAGGATCTAGCAAGACTATTCTCAGATCTGTCCATAAGATTACTTACTCTGTTTAGTGTTTATCTGACATCATTACTATCTTGTTCAGCCTTGCTCTTTAGTGAGTCCCAAGCTGGGGCTCATCAAAGCAAGTAATTAAGGTCCCCAGACAAGAATTGGGCATCTTCTGAATGTCAGGCATTGTATTAGACCCTGGGTTGACAAGAATAAGACATTTTCCTCAAGTTTGTACTTGCAGTGTGAGAAAATAAAAATATAAGAGTTAACTTCAAACAGTATGTTTTGTTTTTTGTACAAGGAATTGAACTCAGGGCCTCATATTTGCCAGGCAGGCACTGTGCCACTGACTTATATCTCTGGCCAATATCCCCAACCAAACAGTATAGTTCTGAGGAGTAAATTGAAAAAGTAGACCTTGTTGACTAATGTAGGCATTGAGCAAAAGAAAGTGTCTGGGGTCACTTTCCTCTGCTGCTGATGAAGTTGTGTTCTTTGAAACAGCCCCTCCTGTTAGAGTCTTTAACTGGTAGTGTCCCCAGGGCCTGCTACCTCCCATCCTCCCTCACCATCTGCCGTATTGTCTTATCTCCTGATGGGCGCAAGGATTTCCAAAGCTGTCTCTGTTTAGCCCTCTCTTCTGAGGAACAGCTCATATCAAGTCACTGCACCTGCCGGAGGCACTGTAAGACTGTGCGGAAAACCTCATGCCAAAACCTGCATGTCTTCTGCTGCCATATCTCACACCGCTTAAGAATCCTCCAGAGAAGAAAACAAGTGGATGGAATGCTCACACAGCACTATCCAATAGAAATATCATGCCACTCATGTAACTCCTACTCTTGAGAAGCCACTGTAAAACAGTAAAAAAAAAAAAAAAAAAAAGGGAAAATTTTCATACTATATTAAAATGAATACATTGAACATATTCAGTATGTAATCAATATAAACATTATTGAGGTATTGAGGTATTTCTTTTTTATAATGAAGCTTTGAATTTTTTTTTTTTTTTTTTTTTTTTTGTGTGTGTGGAACTGGGGGTTGAACTCAGGCCCTTGCACTTGCCAGGGAAGCGCTTATTCCACTGAGACATCTCCCCAGCCCTAAACCTCTGAGAGAGGTTTTGGTTTTATTTTGGTGGAACCGGGGGTTGAACCCAGGCCCGTGTGCTTGTGAAGGAAGCACTTATTCCACTGAGCCAAAGCCAAAGCTTTGAAATTTAGCATGCATTTTAATTTCAATATGGGCTAGCCACATTTCAAATGCTCAGTAGCCACATGTGACTGATTTGTAATCTTAGAGATTATCTAGAATGAAAGATAGTATTTGAGGCTGGGTAAAAACTCCTGTAAGAAGCATGTCCTAGGGGTGTGGCATAGTGCTATGGCTTGTGCTTAGTACACAGAGGGCCTGTGTCCAAACCCCAGCACCTAGGAGTGGAGGGGACTCATAACAGGAATATATGTAAGTATCACTATTGTTATAATTCACATACTGTTCATTTTCTATTCCTCATGGTTTCTCCAATATTTAAAGTAACTTTTGCAATTCCACTGTGTTTTAGTGTTGATAGAATCAAGAACTCATACTTCCTCCATTCTGGAAAGGGAATTTTCAAGGGAAAGTAGCTTATTGTCCTCCCCCACGAAGGTGAAGTCCTGGGCACAGAGTCCCTTTCTAAAGATCAAGGTGAATCCCCTGCCCTGAAATTCCTGTTCACAGTTGTCATACAGTAGGTGTCAGAAACAAAATTTATTTATGTTATGTAATTATTATTCTCAATTTCCCACACACGGTTTTCTAGGATGAACATTTTGAAGATTGTCTCTTTTAGTCCAGAATACAGGAGTGTGAAATACTGGAATCACTGTGGTGATCAACTGGTGGGTGCTCACTAATTCCTGGAGCTGAGAACTTCATTTGTTATAAATGGTTTCAGTGGATTCGGTTCCAGGAGATTGTGCCACTTTGCTCTCGTATCTAAATGTTCCCCAGAAAAACTTCCTCTTTTCCTGACAGCAGCTGCCTGGGCTGCCGCCCATACTACTACTACTCATAAGTCAGTCTGAGACTTACGGAGTGTTTTTTTTTCTGGAGGAAGAAGACACAAAAAGTTATATAGAGGCAATAAAGCTTTCTAAGAATATTTCTGGCAGGCAAAGAAGGGTATGAAAAGATGCAGGCTCTGGAGTGTGTGCTAGCTCGTGGGACACCAGCCAGATGTTGGTGTACTTAATAGGGTGGGCACATTGGCCTTCTGGTGTTACTGTTTAGAGTGTTGTTCACGTCCTTTAATCGTCAACAAAAACTCTTTCAAGGACTGGACGACCTGAGAAGAGGGGAGGCCTTCGGCAAGGGGCCTGGTTTCCAAGGCGGCTGCAGAGAAATGTCTCCTTGTCCCACTGGACAGGCACCCTTCCTTCTGGGGGAGGGCACCAGCAGAGGGGAAGGCGAGCTAGGGGCTTTGTCACCCGTTTTCCAGATGGTCAGCCTTCCAGCGTCCCCAGCCTTCCAGGTAGGGACGCCCCTTCCCACGCAGCTCAGCTCTCTCCAGCGGGCGGGCGGGGGGGCGGGAGGGGAGGAGGGGAGGAGGGGCTGGGCCCCGAGCGCCCGCCCCTCCATCTATCACATGGCCGAAGAGTCACAAAAACAACAGCTTTGGCCAAGATCGTGACTTCAGGAAAGGGAACCCAGGGTCTTCACAGCCAGCCCCCTCCCCATGGAGGACAGTTTCCTCGAATCCTTTGGGAGGCTGAGCCTCCGACAGCAGCCGCAGCAGCCGCCTTCTCGGCCGCCCCCGCGGGGGACACCTCTGCGCCGCCACAGCTTTAGGAAACACCTCTACCTCCTGCGAGGCCTCCCGGGCTCGGGGAAAACCACACTGGCCAGGTAATGACCGCGGCCTGGGCACCAGCGCGCGAGCCCGGGGCCACTGCGTGCCCCGACCGAGCGCGCTCCTGCCCGAGCTGGGTGCCCCAACCCCAGGCGCCTGCCCCAGCCCCGGCCCGGCCGGCTGGAGCCTGGCTGCGCCCAGAGTACGATCGCCGCCCCTGGGGACCGCCGCCGCCCCAGGCGCCCCCAGCTGCCCTCGGAGAGGAGGGCGCTCTTCTCGTTTCCGCTGCGCTTCCCCGGGAGGACGGATTTCGGCACTGCGCCTTGCGCAAGCCCCCGAGGGCACCGGCCCTTCCCCGTGGCGTGCCCGGCCTGGTGCCAGCTGGGCCCAGGCAGCCTTCGCAGTCCCCAGCCTCCCCAGCCCCGAGTCGGGGAGGCCGGCAGGGACTCTTCTTCGGGAAAACCCGCTGGCGACTGCAGAGAAAACCGCCGGGCGGCAGCTAGAGCGCAGGCAGCCGCCACAGTGCGTCAACAGGCGTTTTTACCGAAGCGAATGCACGAGAGGGTTCTGGGGACTGGGGTTGAGGCTGCAGTGGCTGTGGCCCGGGGCTTGCGGCCCGCCTTGAAAATCTGCTTGGATTCAGGCAGCCTGAGTTTGCTTTGGCAGCTGCAAAGGCGCACAGGTATACCGGGGAGGGGGCTGGTGCCACCACCGACCGTCACTGACAGCCTCACCATGGGCGCCCACATTCGTTTACTTGGGAATTGCGTAATAAACTCTCCCGGTACCAGGTTGGTGAGAATTATGCGGGTTTGTCACTTGCTTGCACCTTGCTAGGCCCACTGCACCAGCCTGAACTCCCAGCACTCACTGCCTTGTACTTGACGTTCCAGTAACGTTGAACTGTTTATCTTCTGTAAATCCAGCTGTTTCTCCCGGCCGGGGCTGATGCTGGCCCGCCTGCCTGGCTTGCCTTCCGCCTCCCTTTGCCTGACTGATTCTACTAGCCTTTTAGAACTCGACTGTTACCTTACCCTTACCTGGTGGCCGCCTCATCCGCCAGTACATGCTCCTCTTCCAGGCTCTTTGGCCTCCTGTTTACAGCTCTGTGACTGTGATTAGCTTTGCACATGGCTTTGTTTATCCTTCTGTAAGTTTCTTAAAGGTAAGGAGTGAATCTTATGCTGTCATATACTTTGCCTAGCACAATAGAATCATGGAAAGTGGTCCCTTGCCCTTCTAGAGCTTTCCATGCCACTGGATAAAAAAGGCTAGCCACAGGGTGATGGAATTGTTGAAGAACTGAGGTAGCCCACAGTCAAGTGCAGATGTCCCTGTGGCCCAAACAAGGGCTTTAGGATGAGTGTCTGAGCTGTTTGGATATGAGGGAACTGAGCCTGGGTGACACTCAGTTCCAATTTTAATTAGGATTCTGGCTAATTTGTGGAGTAGAAGCTTTTAGCCAAAAACAAACACACTTGCAAATTAAAAGGATGGGAGACTTTTGGAGGACTGTGGGACCCTTTTCTGAGACACAGTTTCCAGTGGGTGTCCTGTCTGGTTCCTGGAAAAAGCAAACAATGGCAGTGGGGGAGGGGGTGCCTTAAGACTCAGAATTACATGATTATTTTGTGACATGGCCATGGTGGGTACATCTGTCACCAACCAAGTGTCTTGTGGATGTCAAATCCTATTTAATTTCACTTTCTCTTTATGGTCCAAAGTGTCACAGAGTGTCAAAGAAGAAAATAAATAATTTTGGCCAGGTTTGGTTTTGGCCAGTAACATGATGATGGAGCCGAATGTAAGCGTTTTGGACCTCACATTTCCTCATATGTAAAATGGGTGGTGTGGTCTTTAAGGTCCTTTCTGTCTCTGTTTTAAACTTTTAGGATTTCCATTCCTGGTTGACATTTGACTAAGCAGAAGACCAGCTTATTAAAGAACATCTCTGAGTACTGGCCTGGAACTTTGAAGATTATGCCTTTAGATCTACTGTCCTTTGTCACTCACTAGCTGGCGACTTGGTGCAATCCCATGAGGCCCTTCTGTAGGCCTCAGTTCCTTGTATGGGACTACTAAGAGGTGATTAGGTGAAAGGATTTATTCACGATCCTTCTGGTTTTTAATTTCCAGTTGTTAAGACCTTAAACTAGCTGTGTAATAATAGCTGGATAAAGAGCTTTGACTTTGTTGTCCACTTAGGCCTTAGCTCTGCCTCTCACAAGCTATGTTGTTCAACCCTATGCCTCAGTTTCCTCTTTTGTCCAATGGAATATCTACTTGGCCTTCCTTATAAGGCTGTTGTAAAGGTCAAATGTGTAGAGAAGACACATTTTAAAAAAACTTGGAAGTGCTGTATAAATTTTAAGAGGTGTTACTATTTAATTTTTTGGTCATCTGGAATCCATCTTGAGTGTCACTAGAGAGAAACCTGACTGAAATGAAGAAGGCAACTGAAATTGACTTTGAGCTCTCCTGTCATGCTGGGCATTGGTGGCTCCTGGGGCAGAGGAACCTTGGCATGCTTTGGAGTGGGCTGTACATTTACATTATGTCACAGTCTGGAAGTATGCAAGGAAACGGGCCACATTTCAGCAACACAGGAGGCCCACAGTGAGGATGAAATGGTGAGGATGCCAAGGCATGGCCCTCACCATTTGTCCCCATTTTTTGTGTGGCAGGGTGGAGAGGAGGAGAATGGCCCCTTGTCTTTAAATACACTTGTATAGATAATAGCAAGACTATAAGGTTATCTTATGTTTGTTGGATTCTGGGAAATTTACATTTTATCTCTGTGTTCTCTAAATTTTCTATAATGAATATGTATTTCTTAAATCAGAATAATAAAGATATTTTCTTTAAAAATTGGAGAGAATCAGTTTCTACAAATGTGGGCTCATCTTTTTCTGCTTAACCTTTTTCATTTGATTAAACAACTAATAAAAATCTTTTCTTGAAATTAGGATATGTCTTGTCTTCCAAATCAATGTTAGATTTCTATGCTTTTCCCCTGTATATTTTCATAGTTCCATGTGACTAAGATATAGAAAACATCTATTTAAATTCTTTGGATATTTTAAAAAGATAGTTGGAGTTTTATCTGATTTAAATATTTTAAACACATCAGAGTAGTAAAAAATCAGTATGCCCCTAAATCTATTTTATCACTTTTATTTTATTCAAACACTGTTTTTTAAAATAGGTTCTTATCGGGGCTGGGGAGATGGCTCAGTGGAATAAGCACTTGCCTGGCAAGCACAAGGGCCTGAGTTCAATCCCTGGTTCCACCAAAAAAACCCCAACAAAGCAAAACAAACAAACAAAAAAACCCCTATCTTAAAGTACTTGATTATGTAATATTTTATAATCTAAAAAGAATATATATCACATATATAAATTATTATTTTTCACAAAAAAAAATAGGTTCTTACCATTGACCTGTAAGATCTACTTCCAGGAGTTCAACTTAAGAAAATAATTGGACAAGTGTGTGAAGACAGAGGAATGTTCATCACAGAAGTTTTTTGTGTAATAAAAAAGTGTGGGACAACTTAAATGTTCACAGAGGATTGGCTTATGTCATATAGTCATTATTGGAAACATAGATGTATATTTGATCTGTAAATTATGTTCCTTTAAGTTAAAAACTTGCAAAGACACACACATGCACACACACATTTTCTGTCAAAAGAGAAATTGATAGCCATAGGAAAATGTATGAAAAGGTCAACATTTTTTTTTTTTTTTTTTTTTTTTTTTTTGCTCCGAATGCCTTCAGGGCAGGTTTGGCTGGCTGGAGTTGTGGGGATTGAACCACAGCAACCTGAGCCTGACTGCTTTGTTGAAGCAGCCACTTAAAGAACTGAGCTAAGGGGCAGGCCCCCTAAACATATTTGATTTTTTTTTTTTTTTTTTTTTGTGGAATCGGGGATTGAACTCAGGCCCTTGTGCTTGCCAGGCAAGCGCTTGTTTTACTGAGTCATCTCCCCCCGTAACATCTTTTGATAGTTGTTAACTTTAGCTAGTGGATTAGTTTTTTACCTCCAGATTTATTTTCCAATTTTCTATAGAAAGACTATGTATAAATATGTACATATTATATCTAATTTTTAAAGGCCAAAATTAAGACACTATTAAGTAAAAAAGCTTTTTTAATGACTTCGTTAGATCTAGAGGTTGCATGATACAGCTTTTATTACATAACTAAATGTGTCATTTTCCACATAAAGAGGCTTTCTTAGATTCTCAATTGGGCATAAACTAGGAAGCTTTTTTATTCTTGAAGAGACAGATTTTTAGTGACATAAATTTTATCTTATTTAAACTAGCATCTGAACTAACAGGTCACTGGATTCTTTAGTACTTCAGCTTTTTTTATTAAAATGAAGCTAATATTTTATTTTATTTTGAGGATGTTTATTATAGTAAACATAGCCCCTGTGATTAGATGTATAGATTAAGCACTGTGGAGTGGGTATGCCAAGTACCAGATATTCACTGCTAATCATTAATCAACAATAACAATGTTCATTGAGTACTTGCAAAACTGTGAGCATCTGCTTTATAAGGCAGATACCAAGTAAGGCTAAGAGAAGGTGCTTACACAAGACTAACGAGTGGAAAACAGTATTCAGTACTCTTCTGTGGGTAAGTAAAGGCTACTCTGATAGAGTTCAAGGCCATGAAAATCAGTGAGGAGGGTTAAGGCTAGTTAGGCCCTGAGAGTCTGCTGCTGCACTAGGAATTGGTCCTTGTGCTGGCCTCGAAGGAGAGTAGGATGTGACTGAACAGCGGAGAGGAATGGCAACAGAAGAAAGGAGTTGGAGATGGGAAAGCGTGGTTGTTCTCCTGGCCTTGACTGGGAAGGTTTGTAGCAGTTAGTGTCGGGGTAGGTAATCCTGGGTTATATCATAACATTAATTGGACAGAGGATTAGGTAGAAATAAGAATTCAACAGCAAAAGCCTTTCACTTTCACAAAATGATCCCGAACTATTGATATGGTAAGCTGGATCTATACCTTTTCTTCTGCTTCAGTGAAAGCGTATGTGGGT